CTGGCTTATAGGTTCAGAGAGGTTCAGTCCATTATCATCATGGTGTGAATATGGCAGTGTCCAGGCAGTCTGGGTGCAGTAGTTGCTGAGAGTTCTACATCTTCATCTAAAGGCTTGCTAGGAGAAGACTGACTCTTATGTGGTTAGGAGAAGGGTCTCATTGCCCACCCCCATGGTGACACGCTTCCTCTAACAAGGCCATACCCACTCCATACAAGTCCATAATACCCCCCAATAGTGCTACTCCCTGGGTCAAACATATTCAAACCACCACAAAGGGATTTATTCATTTCCTCTTTAGAGGGCTTTATCATCTTTGTAAGATTAGATTTAAGGTCATTTTCTTGGGATTCAGGTGTGTTTGGGTATTTAACGGCTTGCTGTAGTAGAATAGATAGCTGAGTTCTGGAGGTGCCATATTGTTCTTGCTTTTGTTGATTGTATTCTTATACTGGCCTTTAGCCATCTGGTAGTCCCTAGTGTTGGAAGGTCTGATAGTCCCTGATGGGAGCAGTTCTCTGGGGTTGCAAGTAGAGCTGGTTGTCCCTTCTGTCTGCAGGCCTCTGGGATAGCAGGCAGAGCTGGTTGTCTCTGGTGGTAGCAAGCTTCTGTGCATGCAGGCAGTGTTGGTAGGGCCTGATGACTTTAGGCTGCTGGTTGTCCTGGGTTGGGACAGGCCTCCAAGAATGCAGGTAGAGCTCATGGTCCCAGATGGTTGCAGGCCTCTGTTTTCCCTAGGCAACAGCAAGCCTTCATGGATACTGGCAGAGTTGTGACCCAGGAAATAGAGTGTAGAGGTCATGGTGGGGCTTGTCTCTACTGGGTTTGCCCAGGGGTGGGGGTGGGGGCGAAAGACAAGGAATTAGGATAGGGATTTAACCTGGTAGACACTGATGGCTGCGGGTGTCTGAGATAAGGGTTAGATGTGTAGACCAGAAGATGGAGTGCACAGGGGACAGGGGACATACCTCAATGCTGCCTGGATTGCTGGGGAGCCATCAGGCAGGGGTTTGGGGTTTGGCTATCTCATCTGATTATCCCTGGTAGCAGCAGGCCTCCAGGGATTCAGGCAGAGTTGTGGCCTGTGGATATAGAGTGCAGAGGGAGCATGGTAGAGTGCACTGCTGCTGGGTTTGTCCAGAGAGGCCAGCAGGCAGGGAATTGGGGTAGGGCGGTCTCACTTGGTGGTTGCTGATATCTGCAGGTATCTGAGATTGTGGTTAAGTTTGGCCACCAACAGCTGTCTTTCTGAAAGAGGAAATGCTATGGTGCTTTTCTCCACGGTGCCAAGAAGTAGTTCCTGTCACACAGCTTCTAGAATAGAAGGGCAGCCTTTTCCTGATCCAACTGAACCCCTGGCCCTGAACCCATGTGTTCTCTTGTATACCCACACTACAGACCCCAGTTCTGCAATCTCTCCATCTTTGCTAGTGTTTCACACTCCATCCTATATCTCTCTCACACTTGACAAGTACTTCAGGTCAAAGCTGACCCTTCCTTGGGCCCTGCCCTAAGCCATGAATGCAAGCTCTGCAGCTATTGCACACACCTACGTCTTAAACTCTTGAACCACAGTCACGGGAAACTAGCCAGCTCACCGGCAACTGAAGCTGTAGCTCTTTGTGTGGCTGTCCTCCAGAGCCTGAAGAGGAGTTTGCTCTGTGCAAGAGACTCAGTCTCAGCTTTTTAAATACACAGATTGACGTGGAAAGATGAGGAAGACACTTTTATTATAATAATGATAAAGAAATCAACACACCAAGAGGATATATTGTAAATTTGCAGCTGGTGCCAGGAGACATAAACATGTAAATGACGTGTGAACCAGAAGATGGACTGCACTATGGCAGGAACAGTGGAATTTAATCTATCATTTGCATAAGACAGATGATTTTTCTGACATCTGAGCACCTTTTTCTGATTGCTATGGAGAAAATCCCTCCCTCTCTGTGGAAATTTTCACTTGTTTCCCTCTGTAAGGTCTTTGAATGCTGTTGTATTACTAACTCCTCATTCAGACTACAAGAGAGAAAGTGAAATGGGTTTCAGTAGAGTAAAATTGCGTTGGAAAAAATATTTGGAAAGACCACAGAAGAGTTTTATTTCAAATATTATTTTTAAAATGATATCTAGGGGCTGGAGAGACAGATTAGCCATTAAAAGCTAGGCTCATAAACAAAATAAAAAGCCCTTTATAGTTTTAAATAGAACAGATATAGTTCATATGTGAAGTCCTAATTTTGATTGCCAAATTCATATGAAAGAGAACTGGACATGGTTGCTAGCCTAACCCGTGTTTGATGGTAGTTGATTATGTATGCTCCTTAATAATAATGTAAATATATATTTAGGGCTGGAGAGATGGCTCAGTGGTTAAGAGCACTGACTGCACTTCCAGAGGTCCTGAGTTCAAATCCCAGCAACCACATGGTGGCTCACAACCATCTGTAATGAGATCTGATGCCCTCTTCTGGTGTGTCTGAAGACAGCTACAGTGTACTCATAAATAAAATAAATAAATAAATCTTTAAAAAAAAAAAAGAAATATATATTTAGCAGCCTGATTGAATGGAACAGCCTTCCTACTTTGAGAATACAGACAAGAATTCAGTGAGGGTAACAATGCTAAGACCAGGGAGATTCTGATTCCTGTGGAACTTGAATTCCAGTGAGGAGGGGCACATCAGACAAATGGAAAATATATGGATAGATAAATAAAAATGACTAAAACTGTAAAATGCACAGTGATGCAAGTTATTTTAACAAGAATTGGACAAGTGATCAAATAGTGCAGAGCCAGAGGCAGGGTGACTGAGGACAGTTCAGTTGCTATAAGAGCAAGTCCCAGACATGCTTGTCTAAGGAAATGAAACTCCAGAAGAAATGTGAACATTGAGAAGGAACAGTCAAGGGATGGTTTGGAAGTAGCATTCAGAGTGAGAAGTGTAGCTGATGTCTTAGCAGTTTACGGAGTGTGAATGTGAACAGTTCCCAACCTGTGAGTCCCAAGCATTGAGAAACCCATATTTCCAATGCTCTTTTTTAAACAAAAGATTTATTTCTTTACTGTATGTATGTGAGTGCCTTGTCATTCTCTTCAGACACACCAGAAAAGGGCATCAGATCCCATTACAATTGGTCGTGAGGCACCGTGTGGTTGCTTGGGAATTGAACTCAGGACCTCTGGAAGAGTAATCAGTGCTATTAACTGCTGAGCCATCTCCCCAGTCCCTCTGATGTTCTTAGGAACCCCTAACCATACGTATATTCTTGTTGCTGCTTCATAACTGAAATTTTGCTACAGAGTGGTGTTTCAGTTTCTAAGACCATCAGAAATATGTGTTTTCCCATGATAGAGACCCATAGGTTAGGGATCACTGATGTAAGGCCTGGAGGGGAGCATGGCTAAAACGTAGTGTATCAGGATAAGGAGAGTAGTATGTATGTGTACGTGTGTGTGTGTGTGTGTGTGTGTATGTGTGATGATCAACAAGTTGAAATTTTTAAATAAGAGACTAAAACTATGGCTTTAGCTTTAAAAAGATCACTGCAGTTTGTATTTTAGTAGTAGATCATGTGAATGGGAAACATTGGAAAGTCATACGAAAGAGAAGATGAGACCATACTTACCCTGTACTTACGGGGCATTATCAGGAAGACGCCACTGAAGAGATGGAGGGGGAAGATGGATTCAAAGGCCATTTCTAAGTTTGGCCTCATCATCTAACTCACTAACGGCATAAAATAAAAGGGTATGGGGGAAAAACAGGATTTGGTTTGATATAGTAAGCTTAAATACCCATCAGTCAAAGCCGAGATGTGTCCTATGCCAGGTAAGAATGGCAACATTTCTGTGGGCTCTTTATCTCACCTGATGTAAAACCACCTTCTACCATGTTTAATTATCTCTTATAGTTGTCAGAAGAGGCAGTGGCAGGCTCTCGACTGCTCCATAATATTCTTGAAGTATTACCTCAACTGTTTATAGTAATCATCCTATATTTTGTTACCCTAGTACCTGCTAGGAATAACAAGGTGTTACAATGGATCTGTTATCTGATTGTATTTCATAGGAGCTGATAATGTACCGAGCATCTAAATTCAGTATCTTGTTTCTAGATCGGCGACTTCTATTACTTAGGAGACTTGGTAAATGTCCTAGATTTAAGGGAACATTTAGCAAATGACTTCACATTTCCAAAATGCTTTCCTTTGAGTGTCTCAGCCTCCCTCTGGGAAATTAAGTTTGACTTGAAGAGAGTTTCTAATACTAATGGCAGGAGTGTACACACTCCACTACTTTCACTCCCAGTTGCTGTGATGAAATACTCTAGTTAAAGCAACTTGGGGGGGGGAAGTATTTATGAACATTGATGATTCCAGTTTACAGTTTAAAATTGCAGGAAAACATAAGCCAACCTGATCTAGATAATCCTTTATTGAGTCACTAGCGCCATATAATTCTATTTTGTGTTGACGATAAAACCAACTAGCACATCTATGATTTGCAACATAACCCATCCTTTTTTTTTAATACCTAGAACCTTCTATTGATGCCACCAAGTTACAGATCCATTAGTGGATCAAGCCCTTGAACAGGGCAGATACCTCTTCCATGATTGCATGTGGTACCCAGGACTAAGCCTCCAGTGATAAGCCTTTGGGAAAACTTACCTCCTATCTAAGCAATGATGCCTTTTTTCTTGTTATTGTTGTTGTTGGTTTTTTTTTGAACAAAGCCTTGTGCTCTACACACCATCCATAACTGTCCTTTCTCTTGTATTTTATGTTACAGAAATGAATACAACGTAGCAAAATAGCATTATGTCACAGTCGTGAATGGTGTCTTTCACTTTAGTTCTTTCTCTGTCTTTACTACTTACTAGAAAACCTTTTGAGTTAGGTAATAGTGGAGATAGAGGTAAGGAAACATGGTGTATGATGACATGGAAGAAGCACAGATATATAATCTAACCTAAATATGTTTATAATCTTGATAGGTTCAACGAATGCTCCATTTGCTTGCTATGAAGAAATCCAGGGCCAAAATGATAGGTTTGGCAACTGTGGCAAAAACGGCCAAAACAGATACATATTCTGTGGATGGAGGTGTGCCACACAAAACAGTGATACTTTCTATGTATATCCTTTTTTATTTAATAGCTTTTATCTTTAGTATATACCATGAATTCCAGTTGTTTCAAGTAGCACATCTGCATGGAAGTGACTCTGAAGCCCTAACAATGGTCCAGGCTTGGACACTGTTGTGCTGTGGGTTAACAGCTTAAGACATTTATTTGTAGGTGACCATGCAGCCCCTAAATCCAATCTAAAATTGGTGAGATACCCACAGAGCCTTCTCTTCAACAGCTATGGTTCTCCTTGCTTATGAACATGATCCCTTTGATGGTTTACCTAATATGAATATTATTCCATGCTTATAAAGCTAAGCTCTCGCTCTCCTACATCTTCAGAGAGAGCGTTTTCATAATTTGTCCCCGAGTTTAGTAAAATATTACTTACTAGACACTGGGTTGGTTAGTCAGCAATGCTCACCCACATGCTCATGCCATTTATAGGTTTTAAAGTTTGTTTTTACTTATTCATTTTACATCCAGCTCACTGGCCCCATCTCAGTAGCCCCCTCGCACAATCCTTCCCCCATCCCTCTCCTCTTCTCCTCTGAGCTGGTACTCCCCAATGAAATGGAAGATATGACAAAAATTGGCAGGGCAACTCTGCTAGCCACCTGGACCACCCGCCATGTTCCCACACTGGAAGCAGCCAGAGGCCAAGTGAGCTGGCCCAAAACCCACGAGACACCAGCATGGCGGCTGGCTCCACCAGTCAGCTCCATGAAGACCATGCCCCCAAACAAGGCCCCCAGCCACCCCCACAATGCTTGGCTAAGCCCCAGACAATAACTGCCATGCTTGTGATACCCGATAGAATGAAGGCTCTTAATGCTTAAAGACTGTCCAATAGATTTATATATTTGGAAATGCTCAATACATAAAATGCCCAACCAATTAGAATCGTTACCCGAAATCTAACCTTTTGATATGTTTAATTACTCAAGACTCCTAGAGACATGGACGTCTGCCTCCATATCTCTTCTCCTCTCTCCTCCCTCCTTCTCTCCTCTTCCTTTTCCTCCTTCCCACTCTTTGCTCCACCCACACTTAGCTCCTGCCCAATCACCGAGCTTCACTGCAAATACAATGTAGCAGTAACATATCCTGCAACACCCCAACCCAGGTATCTCCCACCCCCACACCTTGACACTTCCAGTCTCTGTGAGGCTAGTCACTTCCTCTCCCACTGAGGCCAGACAAGGCAGCCCAGCTAGAAGAACATAGCTTACCTACAAGCAACAGCTTCTGTGATAGCCCACCCCTCCTGTTCCAGTTATTCTGCCCACATGAAGGCCAAGCTGCATATCTGCTATATATGTGTGGAGAAGCTTAGGTCCAGTCCATGTATATTCTTTGATTGGTGGTTCAGACTCTTAAGAGTCCTATGGGTCCATGTTAGTTGACTTTGTTGGTCTTCCTGTAGAGTTCCTATCCCTTCAGGGCCCCAAATCCTTCCTCCTACTCTTCCATAAGAGTCCCCAACCTCCATCCAGTTTGGCTGTGGGTGTCTATATCTGTCTGAGTCAGATGCTGGGTGGAGCTTCTCTGGACAAACTTGCTCCTTTCTGCAGTCATAACAGAGAATCATTATTAGTGTCAGGGATTGGTGCTTGGCCATGGGATAGGTCTCTAGTTTGACTGGTTATTGGTCTCTGTTCCATCTCCCGTGCCTGCATTACTTGTAGACAGGATAAATTTTGGATTGAAAGTTTTGTGGGTGGGTTGGTGTCTCTATTGTTTCACTGGGGTTCCTATCTGGCTACAGGAGGTGGCCTCTTTAGGTTCCATACCCCCAGTGCTGTGAGTCACAAGGTTACCCTTGTTAATTATTGGATGCCTCCCTTATTCTAGGTCTGTCTCTTCCTGGAGATGTCTCCTCCTCACCCCCATCAGTTGCAGATTTCCATTCATTTTCATGGCCATCTAGCCATCTCTTCTGTCCTTCCCGTCACCAGATCTTGAACCTCTCCCATTGCCCTCTTTATCTGCCCTCCCTCCCAGTTTCCTCCTACCATCTGCTTCTTATGACTGTTTTATTCCCCCTTCTAAGTGAGACTCAAGCTTCCTTACTTGGGTCTTCCTTCTTGTTTTGCTTCTTTGGGTCTGTGGAGTGTAACATGGTTATTCTGTACTTTATGGCTAATATATACTTGTAAGTGAGTATATACCATGCATTTCCTTTTGGGATTGGTTACCTCACTCGGGACGATATTCTCAAGTTCTATCCATTTGCCTGCAAAATTCATGATGTCTTAGTTTTTAATAGCTGAATAGTATTGCATTGTGTAGATGTAGCACATTTTCTTTATCCATTCTTCAGTTGAGGGACGTCTAGGTTGCTTCCAGTTTCTGGCTATTACCAATAAAGCTGCTATGAACATAGTTGAGTGAGTGTCTTTGTGGAATGTTCGAGCATCTTTTGAGTATGTGCCCAGGAGTAATATAGCTAGATCTTCAGGTAGAATTATTCCAAATTTTCTGAGAAACTTCCAAATTGGTTTCCAAAGTGGTTGTAAAAGTTTGCACTCTCACCAGCAATGGAGGAGTGTTCCCCTAGTTCCATATCCTTGTCAGGATGTGCTATGTCTTGAGTTTTTGATCTTAGCCATTCTGATGGGTGTAAGATGGAACCTCATAGTTGTTTTGATTTGTGTTTTCCTGATGACTAAAGACTTTAAACATTTCTTTAAGTGCTTTGTGGTCATTCGAGATTCTCCTGTTGAGAATTCTCTGTTTAGTTCTGTACACCATTTTTAATTGGGTTATTTGGGTTGCTGGTGTCTAACTTCTTGAGTTCTTTGTAAATTTTGGATATTGTAGATACTATAATTTCTTTGTAAATTATGGATATTAGCTCTCTGTCAGGTAGAGGATTGGTGAAGATCCTTTCCCAATCTGTGAGCTGCCAATTTGCCCTATTGACAGTGTCCTTTGTCTTACAGAAGCTTTGCAGTTTTATGAGGTCCCGTTTATCAACTATTGATCTTAGAGCCTGAACCATTGGTGGTGAACTTGTCTCCCTTACTCCTATACTCCAGCCTTATCTTGTCCCTGATTTCAGTGGAAATGCTTTAAGTTTCTCTTCATTTAGTCTGATGCTATGTCCCCCTTTTCATTACTGAGTTTGTTAATTTGAATACTGTCTCTATGTCTCTTGGTTAGTTTGGCTAAGTGTTTGTCTATCTTATTGATTTTTATCAAAGAACCAGCTCTTGGTTGTTTTGACTCTTTGTATTGTTTTCTTTGTTTCTAACTGATTGATTTCAGCCCTGATTTTGATTTTTTTGATCATTTCCTGCCTTCTACTCCTCTTTGGTGTACTTTCTTGTTCTTCTTCCTCCTCCTCCTCCCCCCCTCCTCCTCCCCCCTCTTCCTCTTCCCTCCTCCTCCTCCCCCCCTCCTCCTCCCCCTCTTCCTCCTCCTCTTCCTCCTCCTCCTCTTCTTCCTCTTCCTCTTCCTCTTCCCCTTCTCCTCCTCCTCCTCCTCCTCCTCTTCTTCCTCTTCCTCCTTCTCCTCCTCCCCTCCTCCTCCTCCTCCTCCTCCTCCTCCTTCTTCTTCTTCTTCATCAATGGTCCTAGTGTGGCAGGCCTATGATGGATATTCTTGGGATGTATGGTTCTGTACCTGCAGTTCTGTATGGTTCCAGAGTCTCAGATCCAATGAAGGTGGGCAGAGAGGTGGCTTGGCCCAGCAGACTCAGAGAGCAAAGAAGATGGGTTGGGGAAGGGAAGTTTACCTGTATGGATCAGGAGTCTGATGGATGTAGAGGAGAGGTGTTGGGAGAATGGAGGTCCCCATGAGATAGTAGGCTGCTCAGAGCAGCTTGGCTTGGCCCTAGCCATTTTTAGGATCTTAAACATGCCACTTCTTTGATGTGTCCTTGAATTGCTTATGCTTTCTTGTTAACACTAACTTGTAAGCTTTGGCTCTGTAAATATCTATGGAGCTTTCTGAAACTGATAATCTAGCATACCACCTTATTTTAAATTTTATGAGGACTTATTTTATTTATAGTGGGATTTTGTCATGTTTAATATCAAGTAGTAAAGTCCTTGAGGGCACATCTAACAAATGTATTCATTATTCTCTGCCACTCATTGATTACTTGATAGTAAATATAAAATCCACAGAGTAAACAAAGGAACTGTGAGTAACAACGAATTCTTTACATCAGTGGGTTTAAACGTTCTAATTTAAATGTTTGTATCAACACATGGTATCTTCTTTATGTTGGCATGAATACAGAATCATTACTAAGCATTTCTAATAACTACCTGATGCTGATGCATACTAATCATTTTTATGTTTTCAGGAATCTCATATGTGGGAGATTAATTTGTACGTACACTAAGAAAACTCCTTACAACCCACCCAATAACAGTACCGCTTCTGTGATCTATGCTTTTGTGAGAGACAAAGTGTGTATAACTGTGGACTTTGGATCGAGTGTCGACAAAGATCCACTCAGGGTTGCTAATGGTGCTGTTTGTGATCTTGATAGAGTAAGTTAGTTTCTTAAAATAAAATCCAGTGTCATTCATATTTTGTTCAGCATTTTCATATTAAAGCATTGTTAAGATTGGTATTGGCTCAGGACTCCCAAGACCAAGTTCTCAGCACAAAGGAGATTTATTTGTCCACAAGCAACAAAGGGCAGGGACAAGGAAGACGGGAAAGAGAACAAGAGAGAGGGAGGAGGGGGTATTTGTCCTAGATGGGGACAAAGGAATGTCTCTGGGTAGAGAGGAGACAGACGTGTCACATAGGAAAATGGTTTAGAAACCTAAAATAGGGAACCCTGTGTTAGCATGAGGTTTTTATTTTAGTTGGACATGTTAATTAGGTGAGTCAAAAGGGGCTTTTGATAGCTGGACTTTGGTAGTCAGCCTCATAAGGAGGTTTGGGGGGTGGCTTGCTTTAGAAATATAATCTAATGGTTTTTAGTAAGGCAGGGGGAAAGGGGGAGAAGGGCAAGGCTTGCCAGAGCCATGTTTACCACAATCAAGCTGGCCAGAGTCCTTCAAGTGTCAAATTTTGATTTGCACTGTGTAATCCTAAATGTCTGGAGGGAGAAATGAATATATTTGATTGATATTCAGCTAGTAAATAGAGAAAAATAGAAATGTTTCATTCCTTTAGAACTTCAAAACAATGAGTGAAGGCACCCATGCTAAGCCTTGAGGGCTAGAGTAGAGAGACAAGAACCTTTGGGAATATTTTGTGCTTCTACATACACTACAAAGTATAGGTCCTTCATAGCATGGAACATTGCATTTCTTCTGAGAAGAAATTCACTTAAGTCCCTGTGGCTCAGTGGAGCACACCACCCTTGAAATACGGATGTTTAGAATTATTATGTGGCCATTTTACAAGTTACTTGAACAATGTGAGATGTCTTGAGAATTAGTAATTTTAGGGATAATAACAGCATTTAATAGGGCTATTGTGGAGAATAAAGGAGATAACATAATATGAATAAAATAATGCCCAGCACATACTTTAAGCTAAGTGTAATTTGGCTGCTATTATTGACGATGATCATTTTAGTTTGAATCCCGATCCCAACTCAAATACGTAGAAAATTCAAAGGAAATAAATTTATCTCAACATCTCATTTATTTTCTGACCACATCTGTGTTTGTGTTGAAGCATGTTGTATTGCTATCTTATTGAAGCTACCTATTTCCCAGACCACTGAAACATTATTTAAAGTACCAGTCCTTATATTTTAGTGGAGGTTTAGATTCATAGGAAAACTTCAACGGCAGCGTGGTTTTTACGTTTCTTCCTGAATTTTAACTCTCCGTCACTCACGTCACAACCACGGGTTTGTTACAACAGGTAAGCCACCATTATCACTCAACAGAAGTCCCTGGATAATCTCCAAATACTCCCTGATTAACAGGTGTATTTCTAAATGTCACACTGGTCAGAAAATAAATGTCAACAAAATTTAAAAATATATATTTTAAACTAAGTCAGAGTATGACGTCAACACTCGAGGAATGGTGCGCGGGACCTTACAGCAGTAAATGGTTGTGGTCTTGTTATTAAACTTCTAATTTACAGTGCTCAGATGGCTGGAGACCTCTGAGTTGGAAACTCATTTCTGTTTTCTTTAGATTTGCTTAGATGGCGTATGTGTAGAATCGAGATTTATTAAGGCTCAATCAGAATTGTGTGCAACAGAGAGGTGCAACGGTAACGGGGTAAGTGGCAGCCTGTCTCATGAGTGTCTCTCAATGCCATTAACTTATTGGTCTCATTTGGTGTCTACAATATGTCAAGCCCCGCTGACACCTGGGAGCTGAAATGAGAAGTCAAGCTTAGCTATAATTAGTGTTGGTAAACATTTTTAAGTTTGATTGCCGATGACTTTTTTAAAATCCTGTTACAATGGGAGATAGGCAGTCTCCTGTTCTGTGAGTCTATGGGTTCATTAAAAAATGTCAGCTTTGTCTCTCTCTTGAAAATACATTTTTATGTTTACAGAAAAGCATATCTTAAAAACCTTTTCAATGATTCTTTGTGAATTTCACGTTATATATCCCAATTTCACTCATATCCCAGCCAGTCCACACTTACCCCGCCCTCACCCCCACTGCAATGGTCACTGTTACACAGCACAGTGTTGTATTCATTGTAACTGATGATAAACTTCACCAGGTTATTGTCACCCAAAGTCTGTTGTTTAACACTAGAATCTTAGAACCACTCAGTGTCTTCCATCTGTGGGTTTGGAGGATATATGCCGGTACCCACTACTACTGCATCCTGCAGGTACCTTATGCTTGGCTCACCCATCCTTTCCTTTCCTCCAATCTCCCAGCAGCCCCTGAAGCTTCTATTCTCTCCAAGATACATACACTTCTCAAAAGAGATACAAGTAGCCAACAAATGACTTGGGGGGAAAAAAGCTCAATAGCATTAGTTATGAAAGAGATACAAATGGAAACAATAGCATGAAATCTCACCCCATCAGAATGCCTGTCGCCAGAAAGGCAAAAGGTTGGGAACCTGTGGTGATTAGTCTTCATCATCAACCCTGTGAGATCTAACATCTCCTAGGAAACACACCAGTGGCATATCTGTGAGGGTGTTTGAAGAAAGTTTTAACTGAGGTGGGAAGACCCACCCTGGTGTGAGTGCCACCATCCCATAGGTTGGGCTCTGTCACTGACTACAGGGGAGAAAGCAGCTGAATAGTAGCACTGGTTCTCCTATTGTGGTGGGTACTTTATTCTTCTGAGCCTTTCTGGCTAGCTTCATATAACATGATATAGCCCTCTAGTACAAATGGTGTAATTTTATTCTTCTTTGCAACTGAATGAGATTCATATAGATGTATTTCTTTATTCATTCATCCACTGGTCCTCTTGAAGTAATAGGCTCATTAATTTCATAATTAGCCTATTGTGAATATACTACAATCAATATGAGTGTGTGGTTATCTCTACAGGAAGCTGTCACTGGGGATGTGTATCCAGATGTGACACAGCTGGAGAGCATGGAAGTGCCTTAACAATTGTGTAGAAGGGCTCATGCCCTGTTCTCCATCCTTGCCAAAATTTCCTGCTGCTTATTTTTCTTGGATGGATGGATAACGTTTTCCCAAGAAGGAAGCCTAAAGTTACCAAATGAAAATCCCTGTACCAGGTTTTGAGATACCTCCCTGTGAGCCATCAGTCAGGAAGCTTCCAGAGAACCCCCAAAACGTTACAGGTTGTGGTCAATATCTCTGGTTGCCCACCAGCACACAAATGTAAGACACTGTGATTGAAGGTACCACATGCTTTGATCACAAGGCATTGAGAAACGAAAATGGATCTGAGTAGACCCTTTCTCCATGTAGTCTAGCTTTGTACTGACAGAAGGTGCTGGCAAGCTGTTGAGGGAGAAAATCCAGCAATGGTCCCACACCGTCATGTATCCCATGGGTTACAATAATGACCTGCTTGGCAAGATGTGCCTATTGGAGCAATAATGGCATAATGGTTTAGCTATGGGGTAGCTAAACTCCTTTCTGACTGGACTTGAGGCCTGCTCCACAGGAAGTAACTCACTCTATACTATAACTCTGGTCAAGAATCCTATGCCTAGGGAATTTATAGGTCCCAAAGGGAAGGCCGCTATGGTCCCTTTGCCAAATGGATAGAATGTTTCTCTAAATACTTGTTCCCATAGATTAACGCTCCTGTCAACTTCAGTCAGAGAAGATAAATTTTTGGAGTGGCTGTCCACAGAGAGCTATAATTGGTCAGAGTTGCTCAGAATAAGAGACTGTAGTGTACTCGGTCCTAAATGAGGCCTCTGTCTCCACCAAGGCTCAGGAAACAGTGTGGAAGATGGGGCAGAAAGGCTGTAAGAGACAGGGGAGTGGTCACTACATAGCCATTGTTCTCATGAGCTCAGGGCAGCTGCAGTAACCTGCTCCAAACTGGGTTTGCTTAGCATTTCACCACACATCAGGGAGGGGCTCACGAGGCCTCTCTCCTCACTGAGGGACTGTAGGCAGCTAGTTAATCAGATGTAGGGGAAGGCAAGTAATTTCCTTGAGTGGCATGATCACTGGTGAGCTGCCCATGTTCCAGTGCATAACTCCCAACTCATGCTCATTCAAGCAGCAACAAGGAAACTCAGTGGTTAAAAAGACAGAAGGGGCTTGTTGGAAGAAGAGTTTCTGCAGAATGGAAGGAGGTGATGGGAAGAGAGGAAGGGTGATGAGGGTAAAAATACCCAATATTCATTATATACATATATAAAGTTGTCAAAGAATTAGCTGTTTCTCATGCTGTTCTGGGGGTGGGGGAGGGCAGTCCTGACCTGGCTGTTGTTGACAGGGTGGTCTGCAGAGGACAGAAGGAGTCCTTGAGGGGGGAGGGTCTGAGGGTCTGAGTCAGGCAAGGTGGTCCCATGAAAGTCACAGTTCTGACTAGCAATCAGGTTGCCCCTTTATTCACGCAGGTTTCACAGGAAAATGACAGATTAATGATTATCAAAGAAGGTACAAATTATGTGTTTGATTTTTTTTTTTTATTACATAGCCAGGGTTACAAGTTCAGTTACAACGAGAGAACACAAATAAACAGATTTTATTTTATTATGGGTCCCACGTAACTCCAAATGTGGAGACTGTCTACTCCAAAGCCAACACATTTGTTATGTGATGGCTGCTTTCAGGCTGGGAGTATTTGAGGTTTTAAAGCACTCCAGACGAACAGAAAATATATGAATTGGTCTTTTTATGAACAGCAAATACCAGTGTCCAACTCCTTAAACAGTATCTACATTGTTAAATAGGAAAATGTTATTTTAGTCAATTGGTCTCATTCACTGAATTCTAGTCTTTCAAGGGTGTACCCTGAATGACCTCTATTTCTAAGCTACACTTTCAGAGTGCTCTGAGCATCCTGTAAAGGGAGACCTTGAATGTGAATCTGTCACCTGTTCTCCTGGCCAGTCGGAGTTTTCTATTGTTTGTTTTTGTTGTTGTTTGTTTGTTTTTTTGACAGAACTGTGTTTGCCCTGCATCAATTCTACTGTTTGAGTTTGTTTAAGGGTAGATACCCCAAGAAGATTCCTAGACTTTACTGCCTCATAAAGAGATTTCTAGCTATGTGCTTGTCTGTGTTTATCATAATCTCCAGAACATAAGTATTAAGACTTCCAAATAAGGCCAGATAAAGTTATTTCCTAAAAGCAGAAGGGATAACCCAGGCATAATTTTCTCAGGAAACGACATAAAATGAACCATCATGCTGAAAGCCCCCAAGAAAGCAACATACAGAGACCGAAACCTAAAGGTGAGAGGCAGAGAGACAGAATGACAGCCATCACAGCATTCGGCTCAGCCTTGCCCGCACTGTGACAAACAAATAGTGGTGCTGGCTTCACAACTCTCACCATTCCCAGTAGATGTGGCTGTGCCACCATTCTTTCTCGTTCTTATTCTAGTTTGCTCCAATAAGATAAAAAAAATATTATTTTTGCATTTGTTAAGACTTGGTTTATTGGCCAAAGTGTGTTTTTTTTTTTTTTTTGAGTAGGTTTCACCATCTGCTGAGAAGAATATTAATTTTGTTGCTGTCGGATGGGATGTTTTATGTGTCATCTAAGTTAATTTGACCTATAGTGAAATTTAAATCTGAAATCAATCTCTCTCTCTCTCTCTCTCTCTCTCTCTCTCTCTCTCTGCTGCATGTTGGTAAGGGTGGGATATCAAAATTTCCCCAAAACATTGCATCTGACCAGCCTATTCCTTTATAGGCAATAACCTCTCTTTCATCAAACTGGGAGTGCTGACATTCCATGGCACTGTGTCTTTCTGGTGAATTGTTTCCTTTATTGCTTTTAATTTTGCCTTGTGGTCACCTTTTAGGATATGTGTGATAGATTTGTGAGATATATATATATATATCATACATTTAGGATATATGTCACAAATAATATATTATATATTTAGGGTATATATCACACATTTATTCAGGATATATATATATCACATATATTCAGAATATACATCACACACATTTTATATATATATATAAATATATGACATATACTCAGGACATATACATCTAGTTCCTAATGTGTGTGTGTGTCAGAGAGAGAGAGAGAGAGAGAGAGAGAGAGAGAGAGAGACTGCAGCTCAGTCTCAAGCTTTACTCTTCCATTACTTCATCTTCGGGCTTCCCTTTCCACCAATCTGTGAGTTTATCAGGACAGGTGTTATCCTACCCTCACCTCAGAGAATAGTCATCTGTTAACTTATTTATTTGTATCTAATTCAATCAGCCAGCCTACATCATTAGATATTAAAGAGTATCTGCTTGTCATGTTTTGGGACAAGCTTCTACTTTGGAGCCCAAGCCTGCCTAAGAGCCTGTGTCTCTTCTGCCTTGGCCTTGTGAGTGCTAGGATTCTAGGCTTGTGCCTCCACACCTGGATTTGGCTTTAGGAATCTTCTGAGGACATAATAATAGAGGTAGAAACAATAAAGAAATCACAAAGGGAGACCACCCTGGAGATAGAAAACCTATGAAAAAATCAGGAGTCATAGATGCAAGCATCACCAACAGAATACAAGAGATAGAAGAAAGAATCTCAAGTGCAGAAGATACCATAGAAAATATTGACACAACTGTCAAAGAAAACACCAAATGCAAAAAGTTCTTAACACACAAAACATCCAGGAAATCAAGGACACAATGAGAAGACCAAACCTAAGGATAATAGGTATAGATGAGAGTGAAGATTCCCAACTTAAAGGGCCAAAAATATCTTCAACAAAATTATAGAAGAAAACTTCCTTAACCTAAAGAACGAGATGCCCATAAACATACAAGAAGCCCACAGAATGCCAAATAGACTAGACCAGAAAAGAAATACCTCCCGTCACATGATAATCAAAACATCACATGCACAAAACAAAGAATATTAAATGCAGTAAAGGAAAAAGGCCAAGTAACATAAAAAGGCAGACCTATCAGAATTACACCAGACTTCTCACCAGATACTATAAATGCGAGAAGATCCTGAACAGATGTCATACAGACCCTAAGAGAACACAAAAGCCAGCCCAGGCTACTATACCCAGCAAAACTTTCAATTACCATAGATGGAGAAACCAAGATATTCTACGACAAAACTAAATTTACACACTATCTTTCCACAAACTCAGCATTACAAAGGATAATAGTAGGAAAACTCCAATATAAGAAGGGAAATTATACCCTAGAAAGAGCAAGAAAGTAATCCTCTTTCAACAAATCCAAAAGAAGATAGCCACACAAAGATAATTCCACCTTTAATAACAAAAATAACAGGAAGCAACAATCACTGGTCCTTAATATCTCTTAACATCAATGGACTCAATTCCCCAATAAAAAGACATAGGCCAACGGACTGGATATGTAAACAGGACCCAGTATTTTGCTGCATACAGGAAACCCACCTCAGTAACAAAGACAGACATTACCTTAGAGTAAAAGGCTGGAAAACAATTTTTCAAGCAAATGGTCCTAAGAAACAAGCTGGAGTAGCCATTCTAAAAACCTCCAGACCAAGAGTACAAACAGAGGGACTCATGGCTCCACCTGTATAGGTAGTTGAGGGTGGCCTTGTCAGGCATCAGTGGAAGTGGAGAGCCTTGGTACCTGAAAGTTTGGATTCCCTAGTGTTGGGGAATTTGAGAGCAGGAAGGTAGGAATGAAAGGATGGTGGGAGCACACCCTCATAGAAACTCCCAAAATTATATGGATTAGACATGACAGAGGCAGGTTGCCAGAAGACTAGATTTCAGAATTCAAACAAAAAACTTTGATACCAAAGTTTGTTTTGAGAATTGTATATTGCAGAATACACAGCCTTGATGTATGTACTTATCAAGCAAGCTGAGCAGACCTGCTCAAACCTCTGATGTCCTGGAATTTCAGCTGGATGCAGTGAAGACACAGATGTCAGAGGTTTATCAATTTACTCTTCCCCCCACCCCTCTTCTAATATCTCAATGCCCACAATCAGCTTGAAGAATTAATGAAGAGTTGGCACCCCTATTCCCTGGGCTTGGGGACTGAGGTGGTTAATATTGGGCTGTCTTTCTAGGGAAAAGTAGTGGTTTTGTTGGAACAGGGAGGAATAGCTAGGATTTATTGCATAGCCATAACCTATTGGTAGAAATCTGTATAATTATTATTAAGCTGAAGTTATAATGTCTTAAATAGTACAAAATTTACTTTGATTTCAAATTTAAGGTTTTCATTGGTACCAGTTTCTTATTGATATAAAAATGAGATTAATGTGGTTACTCTCATAGGCATTGTGTCTATATAACACATTTAGGAATAAAAGGCTTAGACCCAGTCCTTCTTTAACTTTTTTAACTGATTTGAGATGGTTAGCCTGTGAGTTAAGGGCTTATAGCAAATTCATGGCTCTGAGTTTATTGTTAGGGTGTTTTCTAGATTTTATTTAGAAATAGCTGAGAGGAGTTAACAGACAGCAGTCCAGATTGCCTTACATGGATAGTTTGTTTTCAAAACGTCAGAAGTCCACAGAATTGATGTTACAAACATTTCTGTATTAATGTTCATTTTGATTAGAGACCTGTCTGCTCCTGACAGCTTCCCTGTCTTGGATTTTAAGAAGAAATTGAGCATCCTTGGAGTTACTGTAGTTGTGGTGAGAGACAGCCACTAGGCAAGAGTTGCCTCTTTTCCCATCACTTTTTTTTTTCAAGACAGGGTTTCTCTGTGTAGCCCTGGCTGTCCTGGAACTCACTCTGTAGACCAGGCTGACCTCAAACTCAGAAATCCACCTGCCTCTGCCTCCCAGGTGCTGAGATTAAAGGCATGCGCCACCACCATCCGGCTAATCCCATCGAATTGCCTCTTTTTATCTACAAATTACTGTCAAGAAAAGGACACACTTTCGGAATAGTCGACTGATTATATCTGCCAAGACAGAGTAATCAGCCCTTAATAATTCTGCATTACTAGGTCTGTCAGATGATCCTGGGCCAGAAGGCTGAAGATCAGATGCTCCAACATTTTGTAGTATAGGGACTGTCCAGGTGTTCAGCGGTCTCTATAAATTGGCTAAGTTTTAGAAGCCATGCTTTGTGCTTCCCATAATTTCAGTTAATTCAGTCATTCTTGATTTCTGACGGATAGTCTCATAGCCAATTCCAGCTATTTATTTTGAGAGAAAAAATTGAGAAGATGGTTTTCAGCTGACATTCATTCTAAAGCCAAGAAAAAAAGCCAGGTTCAGAACTAAGTCTTTTAGTTAGGGGAGATGACAGAGGTTCTGTTTAGTCAACAAAATGATGGACTGGGTATTAGGTCTATTTTGTACCTTACTGATACAAATTGGCATAGTTATGCTCTATTTGTATTTTGAGAGAAAAGTTTTTTTTTTTTAAATTTTAACAGGAAGGGTGATATGTAGGAGCAGCTAAGGTGGGAGGAGTAAGGAGAGGAGGAGGAGCTAGGAGACAAAAGGGAGAGGGAGAGGGAGAGGGAGAGGAAGAGGGAGAGAGAGAGAGAGAGGGAGAGAGAGAGAGGAACATGGAGGTGGATGTTCGCGTGTCTCTGCCAGTCAAAGGTAGTTGGTATATCTAGGTTGGGTATTGGATTACACTTCTGATTGTATGGACATCTTGTTATTGGGCATTACCAAACTTATAAAGCCTTTGATTAACATTTAAAAAAAAGTTACTAAAAGAAAAAAAAAAAAAGGAATCTTCTGCGTCCTGTGCTCCCAGCAGTGCATCTCTAACATCTCTTCCTCTCGTGAAGAGAATTTGGTTGTGGTGATGCCTGTCTGTGGCTCTCAATGCCCTTTTGCATACTGCCTCTTTGTGTGTGGCTAATTTCCTGCTGTAATTTATTTGAATGAGCTTTCAACTAAAGATGACACCATAAGGTCCTTCTAGCCCTTGTATGTTCACATCAGAGTCTTCAAAAGTAAGGCCACGATGGCCATGATGGATTATGTTTGAATTATTGTTATCTGAATGTGTGAACTCTGGGACTATGACGTTAGTTTTTCTGTTAGAACTAGTCTGTTGATGGTGTTTCTCACTGCAATTTTTTATTATTTATCTATTTATTTATATTTATTTATTTATTTTGCATGGCCAAGATTTTTTCATTTGGCTCCCTGCCCCCAAATCTCAATTTCTTTGCATTTAGAAAATTTATTTTCATGGAAGTTGCTGAGTTGTTTGTTTGTTTGTTTCTATCAAGATTCCTGTTCTTTTGTTGAGGTTTAGATCCAGTTAATATGGCATTAAGCTGAGCAACAGGACAAGCACTCCACTGCTAGTAAATGATTCACAGTTGGTTTAGGTCCTTCCTTGTAGAGGCCAATGGCTGAAGCAGCCAACAGGAAGTCACTGAACCTGGACAAGGGAAAAGATGTCTGCTGAGATCTGACCTACTGCCTGCAGCACACCGCTATATTTAGAGATGATATATGTGTCTGAAACTGTTCTCTAAAGTTAAGGGTGAACATTTGAATTCACTACAGTTTCTTGGTACAAATAGAAGTCTCACTTTGTAACAGTTTTTAAATATTTCTTCCTTTGCTGTGTGAGTTTTAAGCCTAAGAAACCAAATATCCACTCTGTGGGATTCTCTCTTAAAATCAAAATGACTTCAGTCACTCTTGGCTAAGATAAAAAAGTAAATATTATGACCTAGCACATAATTTCACAATTAGAAAATAATCATTTAATAAAAAAAGAAAATAATCATTTACACATTTCAAACGAATCCTAGGTATGCACCTCCCTTGGTAACTGCCATTGTTTTGACGGCTTCAAACCTCCCAACTGTACATCTTCAAGTGAAAATCTGTCACTGTTGTCTGGCAAGCAAGGCAAGTATCTATGTCTGTAAATAGCTGTTGAGAAAAAGTTATAAGATCACTTATTTCCATTCAAAGAAAGCCACATTTTACCACCTGGAAAGAGACTATAATATTTGTAATCAAAAGGCAATTAGATTTTTTTTCTCAAATAATGGGAACAAATTTTATTAACTCTGCTCACCATTTCTGTTACCTGTATGTGTTGTCAGCAAGGTGCCTTGGACTATCTCTTTTCCTTCTTTTCTTTCTTTCCTTCTTTCTTTCTTTCTTTCTTTCTTTCTTTCTTTCTTTCTTTCTTTCCTTCCTTCCTTCCTTCCTTCCTTCCTTCCTTCTCCCTTCCTTCCTTCCTTCCTTCCTTCCTTCCTTCCTTCCTTCCTTCCTTCTTTTCTCTTTCTTCCTTCCTTTCTTCCTTCCTTCCTTCCTTCCTTCCTTCCTTCCTTTCTTTCTTTCTTTCTTTCTTTCTTTCTTTCTTTCTTTCTTTCTTTCTCTCTTTCATCTCTGTCATTTGGGGAAGTTTCTCATCTTCCTTTCCCACATTTACAAATTGTGTGGGAACTCAGTTCTAGGCAATGTTTACTGTGTCAGGTACAGCCACCATGCTTTTGTTATAGGAGAAATTCCATGGCGGGTGGTAAGGGGAATAAGTTTGGATGTGCAGTTTGTAGGTTTCAAGAAACACATGGTTTCACCTTAAGAGATGGTAACAGAAGTGCTACTACCACAGCGGCCTTTGGTTTCTGTCATCTGTACACCTATTAGACTTGAAAATAGTTCTGGAACTCTTTGTTTTATAATTGAAAAATGGTTTCTATTTTCAGATGTTGTGTTCTGATGATGGTTTCCCCTACCCCCAGCCCCTCCAAGACCCTCCCCATTTTCCTACCCACCCAAGTTCATACCCTTTCTTCTTGACCATCTAGGATCTGACATGACAGGCTCAGGTAGGCTCTGTCAACAAGGGATGAAATTAGAGTTAGTATCAAGCTTCTCAGTTTTTAATCTACCACTCCTTAAAGTAGAACTGCAATTTGATGTCTATAAATACAATCCTAAGGTAGGAAGATAATGATCTGTTACCTACAAAGGAGGTGCCATATAAGAGGTTGTGCTGAGAACTCCGTAATGAATCAAAGTCGGGGCAGTCTTACTATAAGCAACCTGTACTTCAGATCACTAGATTTCAAGCACTCACAGGGTTACAAGGGGGTGTTACCCTCACCAGACGGTGTAGAATACTCTGGAAACCTCTGAAACATTGTTTGCATGTTTTGGGGTAGATCTTAGATAAAGTTTCAAATGCTGTGGTGTACTGTACTTAAGTTTTCCACGTTACTTAGTTGACAAAGGGGGCAAAACACACAAGAAATGATTTTAACATATTTGTCACAACTCGAAAGTAAATCACACCATCTAATGGTTCACATACCTTTTATTTTTTAGGTCTGCCCATGGAAGGAGCTTCTAAGAACCAAGAAAAGAAATGGCTTTTAAGTTTGTTCATTGTCTTAATTGTCCTCGCTTTGGCAGTCCTCATGGGCATAGGGTGGAAAGGCGTGAGGCAGTGCGGCTTCAAGGAAGAGGAATCCATGAGTAGCGAGTAAATTGAACTTACGTTTCAAAGTTAAATTTCAATAGCATTAGGACTTTGCTACATAAGATATCCAGAGAAGCAACTTTGCATTTCCCGAAGACTTTAGGCACGATATCACTTCGCCTAATTGCACGAGGCTCTTACGAAGACTCATATAGCGAGCAACTTTGCAAGGATTTGGGAGTTTGGGAGTGTGGGTAACTCACTGCGGTCACTGCTGTGATAATTCAGCCATCTTTCTGTATCTGCCCGAGGACACTGTTACTCACCCCCACTGTATGCTTTTTTTTTTTTTTTTAACAAAAAAAGCTAGCTGACTTGTGTGGGTTTCCTTCTGTGTTCTATCCCATTGGTTTGCACGTGCCTTTTTTTTTTTTAAACCGTACACAACGTACTATAAACTCAAAAATCAGGAAATATAACAAATGTCTTTAGTGTTATCCATTTGACTTGGGATTGCATTAATGATCTGAAGTCTTTTTTGGTTCTCTCTGCATGTTAGGGTGGTTGTTTTTGATTTTGTGAAAAATGCCATGAGAAAGTGTTTTTTATTATGTTACAACAGTTGTGACCTTGCCATGTGGGTGCTGGGAATCAAACCTAGGGCTTGTGAAGAGCAGGTACTGCTCTTAACTGTTGAGCCCTCTCTCTCTCTCTCTCTCTCTCTCTCTCTCTCTCTCGCTCTCTCTTGCTCTCTCAAAGTTTTAAGGCATTTTTTTATTAGAGATTTTCAGGAACTGTGAATCGATCATTGAAACTTGAAATACAAACTCGGAAATTGGAAAATGTTTTCAATATATTTCTCAAAACATTTAACTTACAAAAATAAAATATAAGCAGATGTTAAACCTTATAAACCAATCCATTAGTTGTTTGCTTTTTAAATTTTATTTATTTATTTTATTGGTTATTTTATTTATTTATATTTCAAATGTTATTCCCTTTCCTGGTTTCCTCTCTGGAAACCCCCATCCCATTTTCCCTTCCCCTGCTTCTATGAGGGTGCCCCCTTCACCCACCCACTCCTGCCTCCCTGTCCTGGCATTCCCCTACACTGGGGCATCTCTCCAGATGTGGACATTTTTAACAGAAATGATTTTTATAATTCACAAATTGAAACAGCTTCTGACTTACTCATGTCCTCAACTTTCCCTGTCATTGGTCTATAACTTTTAGTGTTGTGTAGATTCTTGGTTAAGTCTATTCCTAGATATTTTATTTTTATTGCATAGGTAAGATTGTTTTCACAATTTTTTTTTCTTTAGAGGGTAAATATGGAACTGTAACTGATTTTTGTGTTCTTCAAATGTACCAAGTTTGTTCTTAGAGGTCTTCCCTCTCAACAACAAGGCTTTGACATATAGCTCTGGTTGACTTCCCAACCATAATCTTCCTGCTTTCACCTCCTGGGTGCTAGAGTTGTAGATATATCCCACCCCTCTGTGCCCAGCTTCATTAATTAAGTTGTGCTTGTTTCAGTGGATGCTTTAGGCATTTTAAATATACAATCACAGATCTTTGGCCTCTTCTTTTGGCACTTGGGTGGTGCCGTGTTTTTGGTCTTCCTAATGTGACTTCCATGGCTATGCTACCTCGGAGAGTGCTCACTACTGCTCATTTCCTTTCTTAGAGAAAGAGATGAATGCTTCGTCCACATAGCTGTGGGCTTCTGTTATGCTGAGAAGCATCTCTGTATACTTAATAGCTGAAATAAATTTTTATCATTAACAGTTGCTGAATTTTGGGAAATTCAAAATATTGGGATAGTGTTCTCCTTGTAACATGACTTGGGAACTGTTTTTTAGTGCTCTGGTATAGTAGGAGAAGGACTTGCGTTGGCTTTTTGAAAAGTTTGACAGAGCCAGGTGTGCTGTTGCTGTCACTGTCTGAAATTGTTGTCACTCATGCCTGTTTCTTGAAGCCCTTCTGTGATTCTCTCCTCCCATAGTCTCAGAGCTTACAGTCTTAATTTATAGGTCGTCGATACCTCCTGAACTAGTTTCTGTGCAGAGTGAAAAGTGGAGATCTAAATTTAGCCTCTTTCTTCTTTTGGGGTTGTTAGAAGATTACTTCCTTGCTTTTTCTAGGTTGTAGTTTCCCTCCTTGTGTTGGCATTTTCCATCAATTATCCTTTGAAGTGCTGGGTTTGTATGAAGATATTGTGCAAATTTGGTTTTGTCATGGAATGTCTTGGTTTCACCATCTATAGTGTTTGAGAGTTTTGCTGGATATAGTAGTCTGGGCTAGCATTTGTGTTTTCTTAGGGTCTGTATGATGTCAGTCCAGGCTCTTCTGTCTTTTATAGTCTCTGGTGAGAAGTCTGGTGTAATTCTTATAGGTCTGCCTTTATATGTTACTTGACCTTTTTCCCTTACTGCTTTTAGTATGTTTTCTTTGTTTTGTGCATTTGATGTTTTGATTATTATGTGGAAGTCAGGAAGTGCATGCTGACAAGAGCCTGATATAGATGTCTCCTTAGAGGTCTGCAAGAGTCTGACATATTCAGAGGCAGACGCTCACAGCTAGCCATTGAACTGATCATGGGGTTCCCAATGGAGGAGTTAGAGTGAAGACCATTGGAGCTGAAAGGGTTTGTGGCCCCATGAGGAGAGCAACAATACCAGTCAACCAGAGCTCCCAGGGTCTAAACCACTAGCCTGGGAGCACACAGGGTGGGATCCATGGCTCCAGCTGTATATGTAAGGGTGGAGGGCTCTGTCGGGCATAGGTGGGAGAAGAGATCCTTAGTCTCATGAAGGCTGGATGCCCCAGTGGGTGGGAATTTGAGGGTGGGGAGGTGGGAGTGGGGGGGTAGGTAGGGGTACATCTGCAGAGAAGCAGGAGGAGGGGTGAGGGAATGGGAGTTCCTGGGTGGGTGGGGGAATGGAGTAAGGGGATAACATATGAAATGTAAATAAAACATCCAATAAAAAAAACAAAAATAAATAAATTTAGCCTCTTAGCAACTCTATGCTTTATTTTAAATGCAATAATGTAATATATCTGTACAGATAATGTAAAACACACATAAACAAAACTCATGTATATATTTGCTTTTGTTTTTTGATATAGGATTTCTCTGTGTAGCCCTGGCTGTCTTGAACCTCACTCTGTAGACCAGGCTGGTCTCAAACTCAGAGATTTGCTAGCCTCTGTCTCACGAGTGCTGGGATTGAAGGAGTATATGCCACCACACCTAAATATCTATGTTTTTAATGTTTTCTTGATCTTCCCTTTTGAAGAATGACCCAGAAAGGTCCCAGGATCTTTGTAAATGTCTTCTCCATATGGCAAACTTTCTTCCTACTGCATCCCTTTGTAAAGAAGTTATATTCCATGGTCTTTTGTACAAACAGAAACACATTATACAGTCTTTATTTTTGTGTGGCTTGTATCACTCACCACAATTATTTGAACCCCCCATTCATAATCTTGTATCAGTTGTTGGGTCTTTCCTTCATGGATTGACGGATACTCGGCTCATTCACAGCTTGTAGTGGAAATAACTCAACCTGCTGTGGATGTTCAGGTGCACGTCTTTGTGTGAGTATGTACTTTGCCTCTTGGTTTATTTCCAGGAGTAGAACTGCTGGGTGATATGGTAGACCATATCTTCTAAAGAAAGAGCAAAACTGTTGCCAAAATTAGCATCCCCTTCTTAACTCATAGCTGCCAGTGAGCCCTTCTTCAATCGGACCTTTGCAAGGAGGTGGTGCCTTGCTGCATCCTAGCGCACTGTGGTTGCATTACAATACTTGTCATAACTAACAATGCTGAAATGGCCTCATTAGTTTATCTATACATCTTTGGAGAAATGGCTATTCAGAATTTATACCCATTTTAGTTAGGATATTTGTCTTTTTGTTGTTCAATTATTTCTCTTTGGGCCATTTGTGAAATAGATTGTCTTTTATCTGAGTAGACTTTATTGCATTCCAGATATAAGTTCTTCATCATGTACTTAATTTGCAAATATGTTTCCCCTGTCCAAGGCTTGTCTTCTAACTCTCTTAACCATCGTTCAGAAAGTACAAATTTTCAACTTGATGAAATTTAATGGGCCAACTTGCTTTTGTATAGACCATGATTTGAGTATTGTGCGTAGCAAAATAGAGCTCAACCTAAGTCCACAAAGATTTCTTCTGAATACTCCTAGTTTTAGGGTTTACAATTAGATATACATTGAGAATGAGTTAAGCTTTCTGTGGCTGACAGAGCTGCAGTCTCACGTGCAGCAGCGTGGTTTCAGCCACTGTTTCACAGAACCTGTATAGTCTCAGACAACAAGTACTAGCCTTTATCAATTCTACCCCAGTGTCTGAGAAGAATGTGACTGTCCCTCTGAATCGTGAGATCACCAATTATTCAATGTCCCCATGTGAGCAATAGGAAGTTCTCATGTATTCGTTCTGAGTAAATATGTTTACTCACTCTGGCTGAGGAGCTGTGCTCATGTGTGTGATGTTGTATGTTCTGTGTGTAGAATAGACACCAAAGAGCACTGGGGATTGGTAACGGCTTGGCACAGGTCTCGGAATCTCTCTCTGGGCATCTCTCCTGTCTGATTTTCTTGGTTGAGACCAGCTTGCTTCCCTGGACTCCTACCCTTCCAGTTCTATTACACATGTACATGTGTGTGCACATGCACACATACACAGATGCATGCATGCCCACAAACATACACAAACTCATGCGAACACACATGCACACAAACACACATGCATATGTGCACAAACATACGTACACACACACTGATAAAACTGTAGGGATAAGTTAAAAAAAAAAAAGCAAACTCAAAAACTTTATGTTCTAATCATTGCCCTGCTTGAAATTTGTGGGATTTTTTGTGGTGTAAAAAGATAAGTGTATTGTTTGTGAGGCTGAGGGCATAGCTTCTTGGCAGAGGACTTGCCTACCTTACAAAAGGACCCATGTCCCATTTCAACTACCATTAAAAAAGGTCATTTTCGTCTTTACTCAGATAATACCCATTGCGTATTATCTTATTTATTGGTAACTGTCTTGTTGTTTTTTTAAAAAAAAGATAATATTGCTTACACAGTAGTCCAATTTTTATTCACAAAGTTGTTAAGAGTTTTATTTTTTTTTATTGCTAATTGGCATGCCATTTTCTATTTCTTCCTAGAAGCAAATCAGATGACAACACTCACACCTACATCAGCAGGTGAGTACATTAAAAGAGGGTGTGAAGGGAATGTTGAAGATGAACGAATGATCCGATTATAACTCATCATTACGTTTTAGATGTCTTAACTTTCAGCTGGTAAAGCAGTGCTTTGCAAAAACCAGACAAATGCATCTAATAGTTTTGTTTCAATAAGCCCCTCATTTATTTACTCATTATCAGAAACCTACCCCTCCCCGACCCCCCTTCCTGCAAAAGTCTAAGGAACCAAATGCCAAATGCAACAGAGGAGATGCTTAAACCCATAAGGAATAATAGTATCTAAGATTTAGACCTTACCTAGCCTGGGTTATTAGCATGCTGCTTGGATAAACAAGCCAACGCCATTATCCCTATCATGGTTACATTCTTCCCACCACACCTGTCGCTTCTTGCATCCTACCATGATGCTAAAGAACTAAATCCCTGAAACTGTAAGCAAGCAAGCCTCAAATGAAATAATTCCTTTTATAAGGTTGTCTTGGTCATGGTGAATTCACAGCAATAGACCAGTGATTAAGGCACGGATGAATATAAACCCAGCTTGTATATGTGCCTCATTTTCCATGTCCGTTCATCTGTTGATGAACATTCAGGATGATTCCACTTTCTGGCTGTTGTATGTAAAGCAGCAGCGAATACAGATGGGCACGTATCTCTGTAGTAAGATACAGTCTTTGGGGCATATGCCTAGGAGTGGTACAGTTGGGACAAATGGTAGGTCTTTTAATATATTTCTGGGAACCTCCACATTGATTCTCAAGGTGGCTGTCTCAGTTGACATACCTGTCACAGTGTAAGTGTCCCCCTTTCCCCAAATCTTCACCAACATTTGTTGTTGTTTGTTTTCTTGATGATGGGCATTCTGACTGGGGAGAGGTGATAATCTCAAAGTTGTTTTAATTTGCATTTGAATGATGTCGAACAGTTCAGGAAGTGTTTGTTAGCAATTTACATTTCTTCTTTTAAGAATTCTCTGCTCATACCCATGCCCACTCTTTGATTAGTTGGTTGTTTTTCTTGATGTTTGGCTTCCCGAGTATTTTTGTTTATGTGTCTGTTTTTTGTTTGCTTTTTTGTATTTTAATTTTCTGTGAGATACATAGCCAGCAAAGATTTTTCTCCTACTCAGTGGGCTACCTCTTCACTTAGCAGTTTCCTTCTCTGTACAGAAGCTTTTTTAGTTTCCTAACGTCTCATTTGTATGCATGTGGGACTGAACACCACACGTGGGAGCTCTGTCCCAGAGGACACGGGCTCTTCTCCTTTCGGCAGCCATTATTGGTGGAACACTACACCACAGGGACCATGCAGAATTTCCCCTGTATATTTTTGTACATCGTGCCAGTTTTTTTTTTTTTTCATGCAACCATATTGTTGAGATTTTATGGGTGCATTTTTTTTCTCTGTCATGTCTAGGGGATGCTAACAGCAGGTGTTCCGAGCCTCTGGCCATCTCCCTGCTCCTTCTTGTGCAATTTTCCCTGAGCTTGGGTCTAGGGGTAGTATTGCAGCTGTGTTATTTGGATTCAGGCTCCCCACAGTGACAACAGCTCTGGTTTTTGACCAGTTGCGGATCTTTGTAAAAGTCTCCACCTGCCGCAAAAGGAAGAGTCTCAGATGAGGAGTGAGAGCAACAGTTATCTATGAGTGTAGGGTAGGGATTTAAAGAACGGGAATTATACTGGTTTGGGAACCTGGCATTATTCAGTCCTTCTCTCAGGTCTCTCTGACTTCTCCAGCCACAGTGGTTTGCAGCACTAGGATCTTACATTTAATTAGATAGCTGCTGGCTAAGCCCCACCCACAAGAGCGCTATCATTGTATCTTGGTAGGTATCCTGCTGGTCTAGCCAGTGTTGTCGTTCATTGGCTTTACAGCTGGGTGAGGCTCCTGAAGCCCCCCCCCTCTCCCGGAAGCTTGCATAGCACCTTCCAATACAATGAGAGCCGCTCCTTGCTAAGGAGGCTGTCACACCGGTTCCATTTCCGGCTCAATTCTTCTGAGTCTTATGTCTAGATTATGTGGCATCATCACCAATAGAGACTTACCTTCCAACTGTTGGAGGCAACAAAGTGCAATGGCGACAACCTCTAGTATTCTAGGGTCTCTCATTATACTTCCCCGAAAGACAACTTGAGAGTTTTCTGGTGCCTGGTACTCTGGGGGCTTTGTTAGGTAGTCTATGGATCGTGGGGACCCTTAAATCACCCCACTGCGATACCTTCATTTAAAGTATATATACCCATCCGTACATATTGTGCTGGCTGATAACCACGTCGTATCACTCCTGGGCTGGTGGTCCTGGGTGCTATGAGAAAGCAGGTTGAACAAGCCTTAACATTAAGCAAACGAGTAAGCAGCCATCTCAGTGGCCTTCGCATCAGCTTTTGCCTCTGCGTTCCTGCCCTGTTTCAGTTCCTTTGAGGATGAACAGTGATGTGGAAGTGTAAGCCAAATAAACCCTCTCCTCCCCAAGCTGCTATTCGTCACAACAATAGGAACCTCACTAAGACACACATATATATTATGTGTAGTCGTACCCTAAGTTAAGGAGTCTCCCCAACCCCGTTTTCCCCGTTTACCCCATTCATAAACCCTGTATCATGCCATCATCCCCTCTAGAGCTCCGACACCTAATCCCACTTGGCCCCTTTCTACATGCCTGGTTTCTGAAGTTTCTCCCAGGCTATACGATGGCATATATATTTGGAGCTAGAAGTCACAAGGAGAGGACACGTGGGGTTTGTCTTTCTCTGGTATGTGTGTGGAATAGAAGGCAGGGATTTTCCTCCAGTCTCCTAGGCTTCCCTGAAGTAGATGTAAATTTAGTATACAACATGTGGCAATTCACATACAAAGCCAATAGGTAATTTGGAGCAGCAGTTCTTCACCCCTGGGTTGTGACCAGTTTGGGGTTGCACATCAGTTATCCTGCATATCAGATATTTACATTACGAGTCATAACAGTAGCAAAATTACGGTAATGGAGCAGCAACAAAATATTGGGGGTCACCACAGCATGAGGACCTGTGCTAAAGGGTCACAGCGTTAGGAAGGGTGACAACCACTGACTTGGAATCTGAAGGGCACGGATTAGCAACCCAGTATCAAATTCATATTCTGTGTTTCAGTGTGATGAGAAAGAAACAAAGGTCTCTGCTGTCACCACACTCCTGTACTGTGTAGGACTGAAGATTTGTGCATGTCTTACATTTATGTGTGTTTGTTGATGAGCAAGAGTGTTGCTCACACATTTAAGTGTTTAGAGGTAACTTGGGTATAGAATGCACAGTCTGTTCTGCATTCTCAAAGATACTTCCAGATACCATTCT